AGAGACAGTATATATATATTATATAAATATCTGGCAGATTGTATAACTATTTCATATAAATATTTGAAAAATATTAATATTAAATATTAATATTATAAATTATATATAAATTGATAGTTTAAATATTTTTATATAAATATTTTATATTCTTTTGGGCATAAAACTACAAGAAATCTGTAGAGATTGCTAATTTGAGGAAAGAGTGAATATGAAGCGAAACAGAATTAGACCAAAGAGCCAATAAACAACATATACAACAAAATGATCTATCAGCAATTCATACATAAAGTGAGCAACAAAAGCAGCTAGTGATACGTGACATCAAACAATCAATAAGTCGGAAATGATGAAGACGATAATGAAAAACAACTGCACTTCCCAATTCCTAATGAGACTTATTTTTAGAGCATCATAATTGGCAAATGTACATTTAGTTAAGATGACAATTTTTAAAGCAAATAATTTAATAAAATTAGAAAAACCTTTAAAGGTTTTCATGGATTAATCAACTATCATATCTCGGTATCTTACCTTTTAAATACCGTAGTTCCTAGGGTAAGCCAATCTCTGGTATATGCACACCCTCAACTTTTACATACACACATTTGCTTGGGCAAAAGCCCAGGGTATAATTTAAATGAGAATGAGCTGACTTTTACAACAAATATCAAATACTGTCTTTGAATTAGGCATGCGTGCTGAAAAAAAGCCTTTTTATTGGAGATTTCCCAGATATAAGCCCAAAATCATACCAAGTATGTTGAAGGAGGTGAGCTTACACTAGATGAACTATGGTAAATACATGTTTTAAAGAATGTAAAATTTTTAACAGAATCTTCACAAGAATACTACTGTATGCAGAATCATTATCAAAATTTAATACCTTAGTTCTTATCTACTAATAGCAATAGATAAGATTTTTAAAGCAAATACTAGTAATTAAATAATTTAATAAAATAAGATGAATTTTGTTGAGGTACTTAAAGTTATTTAAGAACTAATCACAATCAAATCTCAATTTCGTATCTTTTTTTAACAACATAGAGTACCACAGTCATGTCATCACGACGCCAGGTGGCGCTCTCTGTTGTCAATAGACGTTGGTTACCGTTCACTATGCCTGAATGACTTCATAAGCTTTCTGGAATAGGCATTTTAAAATCTAATATTTTACCATCAAAATGTACTAAAGACACAAAAGCTCGCATTATATTAGTTATCGAACACACACTTAATCATCAATTAAAATTTACAAAGAAAAAGTAGGATACAACATTTTAATAATTACGTTATAAATTGGGATCAATGGTTTGTCAGTGGAGAAAATGGCATCTGGTTGAACGCATTTTGCAACGACAGCAACGGAGTAGTATCACATGGTATTGTGACGTAACACTGTAGCACTCACACACATATTTAACATAATCATGAGGACATCCATGAAATACTATAATCTTATAACATCTTTTTTGTAATCCATCATATCACTAATGTATAATATAAATAAAAATAAACCTACCTTCTTCCAGTTTTGTCAACATTTAATCAAATGTTTGCATTTTGGTCTAAGAGCAAAGACCTAGTACTGAAGGCCTACTCATTGAACATAAACACTCTTTTCTATATATCTCACAAGGGTAAAAACGATACTACTACTAGTCAATATGTCTGGATTTAATTTACGTATCATATAGTAAACAATTTTCTTTTCTTTCACTTTCATACATCCACACTGAAATACTCCCTTTTTCTTCAAAAATTATGTTTACAATACAAAAAAAATTTACTACTATATTTCAGTAAAAAGACCATTACAGAATGCACATATCATTAGCAGGAACTACACAAACTAGGAGGAACAGCCCTCAAGCAAATATTAGGAGTATGCCTTCCTCAAAATTATCAAAATATATCCACCTTGTAATGAAAGCAATTCTTAAAATACTGAAAAACGCTACTGAGAAACATTAGACTAAAACATTAATAATAGTGTAGTTTTATATAGCGCACATATCCATCTAATGAAAGATGCTCAGAGCGCTAGATACGTGGACTAGGAACTCGATCAATGACTATCTTCACCCCTAAGGGTCCCTTCGTGTCTGTGCTACCTAGTAACCCGGTACCAGCAACTCTCATCGTCCACCACAGGGGCTGTCTGTTTCAGTAGACCGGGGTATCCCTCTACTCGTCTCGAAAGATGTACTGGGTTTCTTTATAGAGCACACGAGCCATTGTATACACTAGGCCTTAATATCATTACCATTAGTGCGCTACCACTAGAACTAGAAGTTGAATATGAAGGGGTAATGTACAGTATGTTGCTATATATTGCATCTATTTGGCAACCCCACTCTGTGATTTTTGTGGCTGTTGGGTGGGAGGGCAGATGGTCAAGTGGCAGCAAAATAAATAATAGCTAAAAAAAGATTGACTAAAGTCAATGGCAAAACTTAAGGAGTAAGTACTGTAGATTTAATTTTTATTGCTATATTATGGATTAGGCTTTTAAAAATATGTTTTGTGTTGAAAGTTTAGGGCAAATCCAGGTGGGGGGAGAGAGCCAACAGGACTATGGCCCCACAAAAAAAGCGGGAATAAAAGAGAGAAAAAAAGAAAGGAAAAAGAGGGGAACACCTAATACTCCAAAACAAGCTAATTTTCGATATAAATTCCAAGTACCACCAGTGAATATTGGTTAAGCATTTCTAAACAAAAATCTCAAGCACCAGCTCCCCACACTCGGTGCTTCGTCCCTGAAGTTAAAGCACATTGAAACCGGGAGCAAAATGTGCTGTAATAAAGTTGAATTACTTTTATTTAATACTAAATGCTTGCCATGCCAACTACACAAAATATTTATTATTAGTCATTTTCAAGTAACTATTTGATTACTGATTGCCGTTAAGTGACTATTAAGGGGGTGAGTTCCAGAGGAAATAGAAGAGACTCAGACATGGCTTTAGGGAAATAAGCACCAGAATTTGTACACAGCAGAGCTCAGCTTTACAACTTAAAACATAACATCCATAGAGGAATTTAAAGTGACAGACATACCATGTGACAATAGGACAGTGTAATTGTCAACAGGCACATCCATACAAATATATAGCAAAAAATCCAATTAGACTTTAGTCAAATATAATTACACTTAAGTGGAATATACTTAACGTAATTTTAAATGTAGTAAAAAGTTAAATGCAATTTCACTTAACTACAATTAATTGCCACATCACAGCCAATCACAGGAATAGGACTTCAGAATCTTTATATGTATGTCAAATGATTTAAAAAGGGGGCTCATTTAAATGATTATGGAGCTATTTTCATACTGGAAATAAATATTGGCATATCAACAGACTTTAATTAAAATAAAGCAAAATTTTGAAATTTTTAATTTGTTTGCTCAAGTTTTGAGTATTGGCATAATGCCCAATACATTTGCTAGAAGCCTTTCAATTTCTGTTTCCTGATTTTTTTTTCTACATTGTCCATAATGAAACACCACTAAAATTCATGATGACTGCACAAAAAAATGTAACCTCAAAGTATCTAAAATGTAACTGACAGCACATGTTCCAGTTGCCATCTAAAATAGTACTTTCTTAAGTTGTTTATGCTAAAGTGTCTCTATCTATATCTGAATCTATCATCTTGGGGACGGCCTTTGGGTTATCAAAACTGTCATTAATTTATGATTTCAAAAATTTATTTAATCAAATCCGACAATCTGTCTTTATATCATTAGAGAACAAGTTATAGTGTTAATGTTTTAGTTCCCTTCTCTTTCCAATGACTTAAATAAATGTATTATCCCTCATGATTGTAATCACACTGGTGCACATACAGTGACATAACTAGAAGTCTTGAAATGGGAGGGGTGATGGGTGGGTGGGGAGGGGGGCGTTAGATGCACGAAGGTGTATTGGGAGCTCAATGATCAAGTGAGGAGGTGCTAGATCCCAAAATATGGTGATATGAGATTTTTAACTACTTGAGCATGAGTCTTTTTTTGTTTTGAACATTTTTCAGTTGGGCCAAATGGGGGAAGGGTGCCCCATATGCCACTATACACATCCTACCTCAACCACAAGTTCGGTTGTCATCTGCTACAATCAGCTAACAATTTTAAGTATAACAATGCAATTTAAGGGGGTCACCTTTTCTTTTTGTAAATCCATAAATATACATTTGTAATGTTATTTCTGACTAAATAACATTAGAAACATTGCTGCTAAGTTGTGGCATCATTATTTTCTGACATAACCTAACCACAACATTCGGAAAGTTTCTATAACATTTTATGTTTGCTATGCAACCACTTAAAAGCATGGATCACAGCGTTTATATTTGTACCACAAGCGCAACATAGCCTATGGCAGTCATAACAATAAATTTTAATGTGAATTTCTAGAAGTTAGGCACATACCATAACCACTGTGCTAGCTGCTCACTCGAGGCAGAAGGCTAGCATGTACTAAGCGCCAAATATGAACAAATATTTCACAATACGAAGAATGAGCCAACGATCATAGTGGCTAGCCAAGTCTTGTGTCTGCGTCAAATCACTTGATATTGTTCCCAATGTGTACTTCCTAAAGTGAAACAAGCTTTGTTACAGAAACAGTGGTGTATCTAGAGGGTTCGCCCCCTCCCCCAAAATACTTGCACCCCGTCACCCTCAACCATTCAGTATATTTTTTTAAGCTAGCACCATTCGCATAATCATCAAGCCCCTACTTCACCTTCGCACCCCCATTCCCTACTTCAAGATTCCTAGATACACCATTTTACAGAAATATACAGATAAAAGACGATTAATTTTACCTTTACTAGGTTGCCCAAGATCATACGCTGTGCATCACCTGTCTTATAATTATCCGAGAACTTCAGCTGCAGATCCCTCTTATCATCGTTTGTTAACTTTCCCTCTGTGATGAGGAGATCCAGTAATTCATCACCTTTCTCCCATTCTTCCTCAATCTTTGGTGACTGCACGAAAAATAATGACTGTGGGCGAGTCCGAGCTTTCGGAGACACTGGCTGCTCGTTGAATGCATTGGAATGGCGGACTGTCCACTGTCGTGAAAAATGGCGGAAGAAATTCCTTGTTCTTGATTTTACCCGTTCCTGTTAAAAAGAAATTGTACATTAGTTAACACCTCGATAAGAAGTGATTGCATCTTTGGTATTCTATTGATCTTGAAAATAAAGTTAACCTCTGCAATATAAAGTAATAGTTATTAATGTAAAACAATTTGCATTTACCAACATAAGGAACCACTGGTTTACAAAAGACATTTTAAGGTTTCAGCTGCAAGACACAAACTAGTCTTTATCTACTGTACATTTTAGTAGGATAAGAATAATACCTTAACCTAGTCTCCTTGTGTCAAAAGCAATGGATAGAAAACCAAATGGAATAAAATAATTGAAACAGTTCATGACTTTATGACTAAGAAATGTATGCAACTGACAACCTCGCACATATAACAGCTTGAAAAATCATCTTTTATGGGTACATGCCAACATTTAATTGTTTATATAAAATCTTTATAAAAAATAATTTAGTAAATACATTTATTGCTCATTTAGAAGGATCATATTTTAACGAGACAGCCTTCGCTGACTTGTGGACATTTTACTAGACTCTTATTACCAGCCAATTAAGGGTTTTCATAAAGAATTGTTCAAAACATTAATAAATGTTTATGTTATGAAAAAGAAATAATTAGCACAAAGTAAACAATACAAATACTATATAAAATGTAATTTAAATTTAATTTAATGGTTTAAAAGTTAAACCCATTACTGTCTTGTATGTATTCATTTTTTCCCTTCATTTTTTGAATGTTTATACATTATGTTTAGTTAAGTTGGAGGCTTATTAGCCACTAGCCATGATTACTATGTTGCTATCTGGCCTCTCCAGGTATTGTTTAATACTGAATTTTCATAAATTAAAAAAAAAAAGAAATAAAATTTCATAGTAATTTTTTAGCTCAACTGATGAAGAATTTAACAGTATAAATAATCATAAATTTACATTACTAAATACTTTACTGTGATTTGTGGAAAATTGTTGGGTTTCAAATTATAGGTACGTATCATGGATACAATTCCAACAATGGTCGCATATCGCAGGGGTCAGTCTCTTTCAAGTTGAGGGAGTTTCCTAGGAATCGGCATGATTCCCGCATTCCTGCGAGTATGAGGAAGCCTCACGCACACTAACCCGTTTCCAGTAAATTCATGATGCTTGCTTTAACTGTATTTGTCTCCTTTAAGTCTGTCATCCATGGGTATGTTTAATGCAGAGGCAGTTTATTGTAATGTAATTGCTATATAAATAGTTCTTTATTATCATTTTTATAAACTAACGTATGCCAAGCAAGGACATACAGTCAAAATTCAAAGCATAGAGGCATGAATATAATGACTACTGCTGAGTATCTGGCAGAGTCCCAGGGACGGTTTTTTACCTAGCGAAACAGAGGGATATTTATTAGATTACTATCACTACACATCCACGATCGCAGCCTGGTACAGTGATTCCATTGGGTTTTATGTGCTATATACTAATACCCAAATGAATAGCATCGCAAATACATTCAAACATGAAGGATCACAAAGAGGTCAAATGCAATGTAATATTAATACTTTTATGAGCGCTAATGAATGATAAATGTTGTTTGGCAGAGTTACCATTTTTCAACCCTATCAAAAGTCCTTTACCTGTTCATAACCCAATCACATTTTATCAAGCATTCCAAAACATAAATTACAGCTAATCAGCAATTGATTACGTTTGCAAATGTTATGTCTTATTGATTAAGTACACCTCCGCTTTGACAAATGAACATAACTGGCAAATGAATTGTATTTGATACGCATGATCAGTCAAAGATTGTGTTAAGAATTATCAGTATCCTTGTAATAGAATTATGATTCAAAATTTAAACCTTTCTATTCAACTCTGAGGATGAACAAATAAACACCAACAAAACATTAAATCATATTTTAATTGAAGAATGTTGTGCACTGGTAAATGATTTTTTCTTTAAATTAAAGGTGATTTGTGTCAGGACTTGTCCCATGAGCAGCACTTTTTCCTTTTTTTAAATGCCATATTTTTAGAAGGTGACCTTTTCAGCTTACCCTAAAAATAAGCTGACACTCAGGGGCTCTCATAAGCAAATTAAAATAATGTGATGGTTTATAGCATGGATTTGTATTGTGAAAATGTCGAACATACATATAAAAGTTTGATTGTGATTCAGTTAACTTTACTACACTATCCGCATTTCAAATCGATTATTTAGAAGATAAAATAAATTCCAAAGACAAACCAAAACCATTCAGTTTTCCCTGTATTACAATTACATGCTTATTACTCCTATCTATGCAAAAATATAAGAGTTAAAGATACATTCATGTGCATATTAATTAGTATTTTTTTAAATATTAAATACTGTTTTAATGGAAACTCTTAATGTTACGTTTCTTCTGAACTGGATAGTCAGAACATAGTAGTATACCACAAATAATTTAACATGGAAATACTTTAGCTTATAATATTTATTTGAATTAAAATTTACTAAAATAAATGAAGCATGCAATGTAAATATTATTTGTTTAGGTCAACATAGATATTATATTTTTGAAGGGTGAAAATAAAAAAAAGAATCCTTCTTTCACTGATGTTACAGTGGCAGGATATACAATAAAAACATATCAACAACAATTTATAAACATTCATCATATGCTAATGTGTATGACTATGACTCAGTAAGAAATGTTATGTTATCAATAAGTTTGTCTGTTTCAATTTCGAAACTTGTATAATCTCAATAGAACATTATATTACATGAAAGGCTCTTATGAATTATTTAATAATATAACTGATGGTTAAGAATCCTACAGTGTCAGAAGTATATATAATTAAATCAAAGTAACAAGAATTAATATACTGCATCAAAAAAAATACATTTAGTCAAAGGAAAAAAAATTTAAGTTTTAAATATAGAGTACTACAGCGTTATGCCACGATATCATGTGATACTACTCTGTTGCTATCGTTGCAAAATGCGTTCAACCCGATGCCTTTTTCGCCACTAACAAACCATTGATCCCAATTTCTAACGTAATTATTAAGACGTTGTATCTTACTTCTTCTTTGTAAATATTAATTGACACGACTGTGGTACTCTATATAACGACCTGCTGGCCATATCAAAGAGTATTGATGTGCAAGAGGTCCGACCACCCTCATTCTGTATGCACACTATGGGACATTAAAAAAGTACCGCTATGAAATAGGGGTGCCCTATTACAATTCAAATAGAGTTTGCTCGAAACTCGTCTAGTGAGGGACATGCCCCTTTGTACTCCTTTTTGAAATAGGATCACATTCCAATGAAACCACGAAAGTCTGACCACTTGCAGTTCTATACCCTTTGAGCATATACTGAACACATTGGAAATAAAATATATAATTGAGAAAGAGAAAGGACGTATAAATGAAATACATTAAAAAAATTAAATATTAATGTGACAGTATAAAGTTACAGTAGAACCTCGATTTTACGTACGGTACGGGACCGGACCGGACGTAAATCGGGGGATTCGTAAAATAGAGGTTGGGTTAAATTTGTGGTAACCTTTGACCTAATACGTACGTAACACGCAATATACGTATGTATGAACGAACGATTTTACCTAGCTAGGCTAGACCAAGCCTCTAGGCCTACGAATAAAACCATGTGTTTAGTGTTTTTATTCCTCACTTTACGATATCATAATAAAGTGTTCAAATAAAACCATGTGTCTAGTGTATTAATTCATTACTTTATATCTTTTATTTAACTAAAGAACATGAAAATATTGTAAGATTACCTATACGACAAAGATATAACTTGGGAATTCCCCTTCATGCCTATTTTAAACAACAGAGTTGTGGTGTTGTCTGGGCCTGTTGAGACAAACTAAACCCATGTGCGCTGCACTGGGCGAGCCAACCAATTAGCGTTCGCGTACGAAACTATGCCTACTCAGCTTTGTGTAGAAAATTCGACCAGACAAGTGTTTCCATGGTTTGCCACACAAAGCTAAGGAGGAAAGCAATTATTTTGAGCACCATCGGTAGTTGTTCATCTCACTCAGTTCACGTGGTTTTGAATATTGTCGGGGTTTTTGATGACGTCATCGTCAATACGAGGCGTACGTAAAACCGAGGGTTCGTATAACTGGGGTACGTAAAAACAAG